TATGTAGTTATGTATGTATGTATGTAGGTATGTATGTAGGTATGTATGTATGTAGGTATGTAAGTATATAAGTATGTAAGTATGTATATGTATATGTATATGTATATGTATATGTATTTGTATTTGTATTTGTATTTGTATTTGTATTTGTATATATACACATATACACATCCATTTATCTATCAATGCATGTGTATATACATATGTAGATTTACATCTGCAGATAGTACATAGTATAGACACCTATGGCATTTGAGGGGTTCATCTCAAGAACCGTAAGAGCCATGGGGTTCAGAAGCCGAGCTTGTACCTTCGGGCTGATTTACGTCGGCCCTTGCGATCGGAGTCCAGGGGCACAGCATGCACAGAGACTGCCAGAGGCGGCTGTGTTTCGGTTTCCAACAGAGCGGCTGGAGCGAAATCTCCAGCGCACAGCTTTGACAGGGTGTTTCCCACTTGCAGCAAGCATTGGATTCTAGAGGCACCGCGAGCAGTCCATCTTAAGTTGGTGCAGCATGCATGGAATCAACCCGACATCATCTGTGTGCCCAAGTTCTGTTGTCTGAGTTCGAAGCACGCACTTTACATGGATGTACGTCACCCCTAATGCGATAGTCGCAGTCCTGACAGCGCATTCTTCCATTGTGCGCTTGCATGAGTGGGTGCATCCCAGTGGTGCGCAGCTCGTCTTCGTATGCCCTTGGTGCAGTCAATCTTGACCGCCTCGGAGCACAGGCAAGACTCTGTGAAAACACTTGGGTGATTCCCTGCCTCGGAGTGTGCGGAGTGTGCCTCGATGTTCTTCACAGCCAAGCGCCTGCGGGCAACGCTTAGAACAGTGCCCTCAACACTGTAGGACACCTGTGCTTTGTTTTAGCGGTCTGTCTCAGCATTAGCGCCACAAGAGGGCCCGAGCTTCACAACATAGAACCATGTGGCACATGGCTTGAACTCAAATCCACAAGCACCTCAGCAGTTGCACCCTTGAGCATCTTTACAGTCTGCTTGAGATTAGGACCACGCACCACAAAGGCTGAACAATCCTCTCACCTTCAAATGTTTCGACTTCATTCCTGAATCCACCTTTTGCCAGACCGTACAGTTAAGCCTCACGGCCTCAAAGGTTGGACTGAACCTCACGCGGCCCGACTGGCAAGGCCTCCTCCCGGGGGCTGGGCTCTCCGGGGTCGGGCAGGGAATCGGATGCAGGATGTGCTTTTTTAGAGGGTCGATGCACAGGGTGCCCGCGGGCCTGTAGGCTAGTGCGGAGTGCAGCTCAAGTCGAAGCACCTGGTGCCCTTTGCGAAGTTAAGTTAAGATTGTCAGCCTCGACATGGAGAATGTGGGCTGGCTCTGAGTTTGGGATCCTTGAGGAAAGGCCATGAGCAACGGGACATAGAGCAGGAGAAACCTGCAAAAGCCCGGTGCCTCGACAGCAAACCCAGCTGCAATTCCAGTTTGCAGGGTCCCTGGAGTGTCTCTGTCAGGTGGCAGTTTCGGTGGGACGAAATCTGGCGCGTCCTTGCGGAAAGCGCAGGTCCATCCCAGGGCTTGTGTTTGGGGCTGGATGAAGGGTCGGTTCCTCGCGGACCTGTGAGTCGAGAGTTGCTTCTTCGACGAGTTTCGTGAATTCCAGGTCAGGTTTCAGCTTGAAGGGCTTTGAACTGCTTTAGCACCGTCAATGAAATGCCGAGCTCGGTTTGCGATACAGAGGTGGTTTCACGTTTTCTCGTGCGGGTGGAAGATGATGGAGATGAGGAAGAAGGCGGCCACGCACGAGGTGGATGATGCAAACCATGACGGTGTAATCGTTTTGAGGTCTTATTGCTATACTCGCACCACGTTATTCTTTTCTTTTGTGCAAAGGACACATCTAGTGAATCTAGTGAATCTACTGTGCTGTGCAAAAGCCTTCCTATGGCTCCTCGTATACTTATCACATCTTGATACTGAATTGTATCTTGATGCAGGTTGCCATGTGCCATGTTTCTTCCAGACCTGCGCTGTGGTGTACAACTACGCAGCACTGCAAGGTGTTATCCAGACTGATTCGGTTTCTTACGGTGCACGACTCCTACAGCTACAAGCATGCAAGCATGCATGCACACGCACATGCTACATTCATGGATACATGCATACCTTCACATACAAAGAAGTGATTAGGTTCATGTGCGTACACAGGCGCACACATGCATATACATGCATATGTATGTATGTATGTACGTATGTATGTATGGATGTATGTATGTATGTTATTCTATCTATCTATCTATTTATCTGTCTATCTATCTATCTATCTATCTATCTATCTATCTATCCACACACTCCGTACATGCTCACACCATATGTACACACACGGGTACATCGACATATGTGTACATGCATACAAACAGCCCTGCATTCATGCAGGCATGCGTGAATGCAATGGCATATACCTACACTGACCTACACATAATTATAAATAAATCAGTAAATAAATAGATAGATAAGTCAACATATATATATATATACACATGATGTACATATACACACAGTACACGGACATCTTGCTTCATCGCACGGAGACAGCCCGGAGACATCTACCCAGCTTATTTATGTGTGGTACCCCATGTGCTCTGTGTGTGTATATATACATATATATATATACACACATATATATATATATACATATATATATATATGGAACGTTGCGTACCTGGGGCATGATACTTGTAGATTGCGTTTGCACTCTATAGAGCATCATGGTTGCTTTAGATGAACACAAGCCACTGAAGGATACCTTGCCTCAGGGCCCTAGTCTTAGTCAACGCCAGATTCTTCGCAAGAACTTGACCATCCCTCTGTCAGTTCGTGTAACTTTGTGGTCCGCGGCTTTAGTCCAGGCCCTCGAGGCGATCATTGCAGAGGCAGGGCTGGGCCGTTGCGGTTGGGAGAGGTCCTGGGGAATTTGGGTGGCTGCGCGGTCTCGGCTAATGTTAGAGGTTTCGGGCCCTCTTGCCGCCGCAACCAACCGAATTCAGGTTCGAAACCTCGGAGGGGACGCACCTGTGCAACCTGGCACGCAGATTTGCATTCCTGCCCTTGTCGATAGACGCACTGCTTGCCTGCCTTTCGTCCAGCCACGCTTGCCTCGGGCCTTTCTCGCGAGAAGTGTTACCCTGACAAGATATGCCCAGGAAGGGAGATGGTAGCAGCGACCTCCCTCCGTGCGCCGCTGAGTCTGGAACTGTAGAATTGAGAGGGCTTTCTCGACTTGTTCTACTTGGGACTTGGGGTGGTGTCAAAGCATCCGACACAGAAGTCGGAAGACACTCATCCAGATGCTTGCTGGTTGTGCCTTCGTCACCAGGGGTGAAACTGTCCAGGGGATACAGTAGCACAAACCCTGCTGGAATCTGCATCGGCCGTTAGGTTCATGTTCCCGCAGCTGGCTGGACAGCCACTTCTAGAGTTTACGAGGTTCCTTGCGATGCATAGCAGTGTTGTTGCAGGAAGAACTCTCACGAAGCTCTGCTGATACGTGTGGCACCAAGGGGTTTTTCCCAGCTGAGGAGGCAGCGCCGCTAGTAGCAATATTGGTTATACAGTGGCAAGAATAGCAGCAGCAGGGGAGCCGGGGGGGGCGGGGTGTTGACGGCGAGGCCAACAATGACACAAACAAAGCACATCTCACAAACACACAGACAACACACTCTCTCTCTCCCTCTCTCTCACACACGTGCGCACATGCCCGCGTGCATACGCATGCACGCACACGCACACGCACAAGGACATGCACACCCACACGCACACTCACACACCCACACACACGCACACACAGACACACACAGACGCACACACGCACAGTCACTCACGCGCCCACTCACACTCACACTCACACTCAGTCACGCGCACATCCACACGCATGCACGCGCTCACTGTCACCCACGCATGCACACACGCACGCACGCGCGCGAGCACGCACTCAGGCAGGCAGGCGCGCACTCACGCACGCGCACACACACACAAACGCATCCGCTCACCATGTATATGTATATGCATATGTATGTATGTATTTTTGTATGTATTTTTGTATGTATATATATATGTATGTTTGGACACACATACACCCACACGCTGACGCCCAGGCACATACACACGCAAGCACCACCAGACAACCAGACAAACAAAGAAATGTACGAACAGACAAGGAGACACACAACTGAGCTAGCAAACAAATATACAATATAAGCACACGCACACACCACCAGCCAAGCAAGCGATAGGCAAGCGAGGAAGGAAGGGAGGGAGGGACAACAAATCATAAATGACATATACAAACAATCTGTACTATAATATACACACAGGTAATATCATAATATTTATATATATAAACACATACATGACATACATACATACATACATACATACATACATACATACATACATACTTACATACATACATACTTACATACATACATACCTACATACATGCGTACATCCATACATACATACATACATACATACATACATGCATACACACATACATATACACACTTACATATATGTCGTATATATATATATATACAAACATACATATACACACATGCACACACACACACATACATAATACTATACATAGGCAGATGCAGATACAGACACGGATACATGTACATATATATATACACATGCGAACATACA